AATCATTTTAGTGATGAAGTAGATAGGAGATAATGATGAAATGATGGGTGGAATTTAGACAATGGACATCATTTAAATGAAATACATGTAATATTGAACCCCCCCCCCCCCCAAAAAAAAGAGTAAAAATCATTGTAAGGTGTTGACCTTCAAATCATGTTTGATATTGCTAAATCAAAATCTTATGCTTTGTAGAGAAAACAATGGTATGATCAGTTTCAGAATAGGACCATCTCTTACATCACTATGTAGATGAACATGTCTATGATAATGAATGCACATGGTTTTAGAAGCCATGATGCTGTAGTAATAGTAATGATTATGTACATATCTGCATTTCCTTAAAATTTAATACATCTACAACATGTATTACTTAGTTCATATGTAATTATAAGCATTTCTTTCTTGCATAGTGGAAATGCGTGTTAGAAAAGTATGTATTTTTATATAACGGGCAGGCAATCATTTCATATAAAAAGTATGGCAGTTGGACATACTTTGAAATATGACAAAATGTTTTCATATACAAGTAAATTTAGATGAATCAATACAATTCAAAATAAAAGGCAAATGTATTGAATTTCAACAAATGAGAAATTAGTTTCTTAAAGGAAACTATTCTTCATATTCATGATCACCGTAGTAGACAAACTTCTTCACTCAGTGAATTAAGACATTCTTCCAATCTGCTTTAACTTGACACATTTCCTAAAAATTTGGTGTTCTTCTTATTGAAAGAATTTATGCCCTTGTTCTCTTCTTACAATTATTAACTTGACAAAGCTAGATCTACATTCCTTCAAATTTTAAAGGCCATCACATTATCTATTTTATAGATGGCTGAAGAGTAAAATTTGCAATAGGTAGTATCACCTGAATGCATATATCATAGATATTGGAATGACTAAATAACGTTTCATTTGTGAGATACTGTACAAATGTATACCACTCTAATTTTGAGCATGTTTCACTTGTCATGCCGAATAGTGAAATATGCTTGATATAACAATATGATATACCCTTTTATACCATTCAAGGCCATTTAATATCATATAATTATTACACCTTTTGAAGAATGATAGAGAATATCTTTACAAAAACTGCCCAGAAAACTTTATCTTATTGAATATATCAGATTTAAATTTTTACACATATACATTTTCTGAAGACTCCGGGCTAGTTACTGTCTGTTCGGCTTAGTATCCATCATGACAATCAACTTATTTTTTACTAGAAAGTTCCGTTTTGAGCTCACAAATATTTAACACTGTCTTAATTGTGTATTTGTTAATTGTAATCATATATTTGGAAAGAACTGTTTCTCATATCTAGTAATTCAAGGATTGAGCATAATATATTTCTAAGTACCCTATATTACTGATAGATATAAAATTCAAATGGTAGAAACATCATTGAGTGGCACAACATGGTATGTAAAAAAAAAATACTGTTTATGATGGTTGGGAGGCATTTCGAAATGAACAGGAACATTAAATTAAATATAGCTATAAAAATGAATAAATAAGTATATCACTCTTGTAACAAATGTCCACTGGTATATAGGTGAATAATAATAAATAACATAAATGGAAAGCATGTATATATGCATCATAGAATAGATATGAATATGTAGACTAAAAATAAGACAAATAATATAAAATTAAAAAAAAGAATTAATATTTTAAACAAGAAAGTTGATTTAGTGATTAATGTGAACGAATGTGGTTATCTATAGTGGTTGGTAGTGACTCTATAGCTATGTTAATAGGATGAAGTTAGTAGCATCTTGTGAAGGAAATCTATGGTTAGGTAATAAACTACCACTGATAAGTGTATCTAACAATGACAGAAGATATTCAGACAGGGTTTACTATTCAAAAGTATGTTTTAAACAATATTTTCCAGTGTTTTAAAGATTTGAGATTTTTTACATCAAAATTTCAAAGCAAAAAAACCCAACATCTAAAAGAAGGGGTTCTTTTTACACCTAATTGAACTTGTTTCTTAACTTTGTTTTCCTTTTTTGAGGTTTTTTTTACACATAAAATCCAAACATACCTTTTTATTATTTTTCAATTACTGATTCTTATTTTCCTCACATAGGACAATGTCACACAAACAGAATGCATTGTACTTTTTGTTAAAAATATGCCTTTTTTTCTGAAAAGATCTGGCAGCAGTGCAAAACTGCAAGTGGGTTGAATTTGACAAAGAATCTGAATTTAAGAGGTTTTCCTTACAATTCATTGGCAAGATTATGTGCATGCAGAACTTATTTCACACATCTTCTTGTAGTTAATGTCCTATTGTAACAAGTGTTTACATATTTCCAAATAAGCGCAGTAAAAGAATTTATCATTTGATATTAACTTTTATCAATCAATGATTTTTTTTAAAACATACAAATGAACAGTAAACTGGCTGACTTATTCAAAAGTTATATACAAAATACAACTCATGCCTATAATGATGAACACAAACAGCCAATAAAAGGTGTAGATTATTGAAATTGACCAATGGCAGGCGACTACCTGATTCGACCAGGAATGCTGCGCCAAGAGGACGCTCTGTGTCAGGTGTGGTGAGGATGAAATGTGAAAAATGGACTACGATAGACAGAAAAACAGAGGAACAGGGTGAAAAGAGAAAGAGATGGATCAGAATAATGCACCGCATGAGTTCTGTGATGTAACACTGCACACATTGTTAATTAAATGACTGTTATTTCTATCTCACACCACTGCAAAAAAAAAACATAAATAAGTCATATTTGTTGATATATAGTTTCAAGTGTGGTGCCTTGCAGTTATAAAAGATGCATTGTATGCATGCAGTAATAGTCCACTAAAATTAAGCACACACTGTAAAGTGCAAATTAAAGAATCCTTTTTTTTTTCTTCAAAGATGCTTATGTTTTAAATCATGAATAGATCCAACTATTAAGAGCTCATATAAATGGCAAAAAGTATAACAAAGCCTATTTACACTGCCCCTTAGGTCTACAGAAGTTATATCCACCTTACAATATAATTTTTTTATCACTAGCTTGAATCAATTCCTAAAATCTTGAAGTTCATGACACCAGTAACTTAAAACATCATGCCAGCATTCATGTAACAATATCCATTTGTACTCAAGATAAACATTAAAAATTTAAATGAATAACAAATTATTAAAAAATAAAAATGTCTATTTATAAATCAATACATACCCAGTACAAAACATCAGCAACAAAATTAAGATCATGTATTTAGTAATACAGATTTTTCATCTTTCATTTGTAGAAAATATATTAATTGCTACCTATGAAGTAAATGCTTGATATCTTCGACATGTTTACAATTCAGTGTATCATGCTTGTTCAGCTGGAGAGCAAAATTAATAGTCTTAAGCAAGCAGCAATAACACACCAAGTTTCACTAAGAATATTGAACTAAAATTGTCTGCATGATAAAACATTCCTTTTATATCATGCAATTGATAGAATGAAATGACTTCCAGGAAAGTCACATAATAGTATATGACGTCCTTCAAATTTGTGTTACAAAATAACTCTTGATTACACTTGAAATGTATATGATCAATGCTTTAATTTCATGAAGAAATGTCAGTTGTTTTTCTGCTAATAATTACATTAATACCTTTTATCATAAAGTGATTGAACAAGGATGTGCGGTACTGATGAAAAAATCTGTTGAAATATTTTTTCATTGCACTCATTAAGTAATTTTACATAAGGGTTCAACATTTTAGAAGTTTTCATAGTAAGGTGATTATTAGAATGACGCTTAATAATGACAAAGGCTATTGTTATTTGGAATGATGCACACGCTGATGGTAATGAAATGCTGTTAGAAATTGTGAGAATTTCTGATTAATGTTTTGTTTAATATCTCTATGGAATGATATCAAATAATTTTTTTCTTAAGATGAGTGCACATTGAAGAACTAGAGAACCAACATACACATAAAACCTGTGATTTATCATGAAACTTGTGAACAGACATTGTGTAATACTCTAATCATGTTCATTATTGAGATCATCTTTAAGTCACGCTCATGCCAACAAAGTGTGATTATTTATGTGCGATATGGTTGATATGATTGGAGATTAGAATAATTGGTTCAATTGGAACAAAACAATTAGAACAAACAAAACAATGTACAAGCACACATTAAAAACACAAATTTGAAAAGACACATAACGTTGAGCCATGGTCCAAATAAACGGAACAAATCTAACTATTTGTACACATCTAAATCAACACTACGATGTTACAGAAAACTTAACAGGAGAAAGGATTTTTTTAAATTACAATCCTTAAAATTTGATTTCAAGAAAATTGAAAGCTCAACAATTATTTTTCTCTCTCCAACCACCATCTTTGCTTTGGAGTACGATAATATACTACTATTTTTAAACAAAATCGTCTCTAATTATTGCTTTACACCTCAAACTCATAGAGGTATCTCTAAATCAATTTCCTGATGGATAATTTCATAAAAGGTTCAAAGCATTTTACAGGTGTGATATAAAAAGTGGCTAGTACTTCTAATCATTTTTGTATCTTCAGCTGGTATAAATAATATATTGTCTCTTAAAACTGTATTTTCCTCAAACCAACTAATTTCCCCCTAAATTTCTCTATCCATTCCCCCTTCCCCTCCCCACCTCCCCCTCTCTCTCTCTCTTTCTGTCTCTCTCTTCTCTGTCTATCTGTGTGTGTGTGTGTCTCTCCCACTCTCTCTCTCTCTGATTCTTGATCTCCTGTTATCTCACTCACTTTTTTAAATTTTACTTAGTATCCTCTTTTCTTATTGCTCTAGTTTTATGACGTACTTTACAGTTATCTTTTGTGAGCTTTTACCCATAACTTTCCATCTCCAGGTCATCTATTCAATAACCATCCTTGATCTTCTATCGTTATTCTTTCACTCATCCTCCTTCCATCCATCCTCCTCTCACATCCTCCATCTCCCAAGCTCTCATCTCTCCTTACCCCTTCATCGGAGTTGTTAGCAGCATCCTCCCTCTCCATCTCCTCTAACAAATCAATAGCGTCCTGTTTGAGCTGATCGGCGATGATCTGCGCATCCTCCTCGTCGTCCTGCTCCAGCTTGTGACTCTCCTCCAGGTGCTTCATGAGGACGGCGACCACCACGTTGACCAGGACGAACTGGGCGATGAGCACGAAGGAGAAGAAGTACATCGGAGCAAAGTAGCGGTTGGCACAGCAGTTAACCTTGCACCCCGATCTCTCATCACATCCTTCTTTCCTCAGTGTGTCCTGTAAGAGTTACAACAAGTACTTGATTTGATAATATATAGTTCTTCTTCTTCTTCTTTAGGATAATCTGCCTCCTTCACTGCTGAAGATTCTTGCAGATGAAATGCAGTTTAAATAAATATTCAAGCTAAAGTTCAAGTCAAGTTCCACTTTCAATGAAAACAGGTTACAATTTGTATGGGGATTACAGAGTCAATTGGCCTATAGAGGCAGAAGACCATCTGTGAATCTGATCTGTGTTCTGTAACCAGAATGCATGGCAAAAGTATGCAAATTAAGTTGTTAAAAAAAAAATTATTTGATTTAATTTTTTATAAGGGCAATAAGATTCTTCTAGGAACAGCAGAAATTTATTATCATTATGCATCCATGTCCATGAACTAAAATAATTGAAAATAGTTTACCTTCATAATACCATTCCAGTTGTCTCCCGTAGCAATGCGAAACAAGGTCAGAAAGGCAATGAAGAAATGTTTGAAGGAGGCGTGACGTCCGAGGCCCTCACAGGGGTTCTGATCGGTGCAAGCTGAAAACAGAGAGAAGATCAAAAAAAAAAACTAGGCAACTAAGTCTATATTTATAGCTTTAAAAGTACAGAAATAATAAACTTTGTTTTCTGACTGTCTAAGTTACATTTCAAACCTGATGGAAAGATCAGTGTTACCAAAAATATTACTACAGACAAGATGTCTTACACTTTGACAATGTTACGATTTGACAAATTCTGTTTCACACTGTTTTGGAATTGTGTTCACTGTGTTTATATCTACCCCACAGCAAGATTGGTCACAGATATGATCATATGATCATCAAGAGGTATGAAATACAGTTATAAATGTTTCCACACCATATCCACACTGTGCCTACACTGCACCCACATTATGTTCAAACTGTGCCCACACCATGTTCACAGTGTATCCACACCATGTGTTCACATGTTCACACTGTGTTCAAACCACGTTAACAGTGTATCCACACTGTGTCCACACCATGTTCAGTGTATCCACACTGTATTCACACCATGTTCAGTGTATCTACACTGTGTTCACATGTTCACACTTTATTCCGACCATGTTCACACCGAGTCCACACCGGGTTCACACCATGTTCACACTGTGTCCATCATGTTCTCAGTGTATCCACAGTGTTCACATATACAGTGTAAATCCACTGTGTCCACACCATGTTCACAGTGTATCTACACTGTGATCACATGTTCACACTGTATTCCGACCATGCTCACACTGTGTTCCAACCATGTTTACAGTTTACAATGCATCTACAGTGTTCATACCATGCTCACAATGTATCCACACTGTTCACACTATATCAACTATCCATAATGTGCCTTCACTATGTTCACACTGTGTTCATTCTATGTAACACACTTTTATCTTTCCATTAATAAAACCATGAAGTTTGACAGGACTTACCTAATCGACCAAATAGCTCAACTCCAAGAGCAGCAAAGATGAAAAACAGTAGAAAGAAGAGAAGGCCCAAGTTGCCAACCTGTCAAAATGAATAAACGAACAGCTAACAAATATGGGCAATTTGGATGGGTAAGTTGGAGTATGTCAAACAGCACAGGGTATGATAGATACGATTTCTTCAGTTCTATAAATTAAGATGTTGTTCTTAATTAAAGAGATCTAATTTCTTTCCCTGTTCACTCTTTTTGTGTTACTGTGAAAATCAAACTTTAATCTAGAAATCAATGCAGTTTAGGATTTTCTTGTTTGATATACGTACAAGATCTATTTCATGTGTTTTCTACAGATCATCTCTTTTACAGAAATGACAGGTCGAAATCTGAGATGATCTAAGCTATGTAAAACGTAAAATTCTTCTGTATACTATTGAAATGTAAACCATGATCACTTGCAAAACACAAAAGGATCATATCTACCTGTAACTGACACAAATATAACTGCAAGTGACAGATGTATGCATAAATTAAAATAGTTGAAACCTAATGCTTTAAATAAATATTTTAATTTTAAGAGATATTTTCTCCCAAGTACTGATACCCATCTGACAAGCCATCAAAAATAAATATAATGTAATTGTATATCTCTGACATTCCTTCATGCAAAACTAATCTTTTGTCCTATAACTAGTTATCAATGTAAATTAAGAATACAAGGAAAAAGAAAAACTATAATAGAAAGATTACATAAACTACTGTAGCTAGAACTGACAATAAAAAAGGAAAACGTAACATTTATATAACTTTTTTTAACAATAGCAAAATATGTTCGATTGATCAGGAGGGAATGGGGAGGGTTACTTTACAGAAAAAATTAAAGCAGAAACAAATACATGCATATATTAAAGCTTGTTAAACAAGTACAATTACATGTTCTACTCACTTTCTAATCCAGATCAAAGATTGTATTTCACTTACTTTTTAAAGGGCTTCAGGTACAATTTATATTCACATGTTTTCTTTTCTTCATTTATTAGTCATTAACACATGAAAAATATGAATAAAAATATTAAATGAGATATAAAAAAAATATTGATAAATCCAAAGTGGTCAGAATTTCAAACTTTGTCAATCAATATAATAAAGTTCTCAATTGCTTCACATATAAAAACAAACCCTTTGTTCAGAACTATGGAACCCTTCTTTTAATGAATTTTCTTCCATTTACCTCCAATTCTTCCACGTCTAAAATGAATAACAACTTGAAGTTCTATCTCTTTTATTTTTTCCCCGAATTTATAAAAGTGACTAAAAGATAAGAATATATACATGTAAGTAATTAGACTACGATTACCTGTGGCAATGCCTGAAAAACGGTGTCCAGCAGGGCTCGGATACCCTGAGCCATTTTCAAGAGTTTAAGCACTGATGGGGCAAACAAAGGTTGACCAAGGAGACAAACAGACAGAAGGACAGACAGACAGACAAACAGCCAAACACAGAAAGAAGAAATACAAAGGTATAATAAGTTGGGTGCAACAGATATAATTCAAATTGTGAATGCCATGGGGATGGTACCCCAAAACAAAGAAATCATGACTAATACTGGTGTGTCACGGTGGTTTATAGTGAGCAAGGGTGCAATATCTATTCATGCATTTTGTGAAATTAATACTTGACATGTAAACAATTTCATCACACCGATAATGTATATACTCTATGACAATAATATTGGTGCAAACAAGCCAAATTTCATTGAAGAAGCGAAATTTTCACATTTTTTTTTTATCCAAATACAATTTTCGGGACATTCTATTTTTCAAGAAACATGTTTATACTCTGCCATGTTTAATACATTCTTTAAGATTAAGAATGTACCTATATAAAATATGAAAAAAAGAGCTGTCAAGATGAAGGTTTGGCCTCATTACACATCAATATAATCACTACTAAAGGATGACCCAGTGATGTAAAGCCATGCAATAGTACAGGGTAACAGAAACATAAAAACACATGTCTATTGCACCATTAAAACTAATGTAGGATGACATCAACATGGAGATAACCGTATCCACAAAGCTGCTAAAACTTCTAAAAATCGAAAAACAGAAAGTGATTATATATCATCACGAATCAGGCATATAGTTAGGACACAGCATGCAAACCAACGGACAAAACTCGGTAAGAAACAGCGCCCTCTGTGTTTGTCCGTGATCACTTTACCTGTGGAATAGCACCCATGAGGACGGCAAGCAACTCACGAAGGCCTTTCATGGTCTTCATGATCTTAAGAACTGTGGGCGTTTGGGATTTGCCATCGTTCAAAGAAAGGGGTCGGGTGTTAAAAAGTGGATAATATATGAGCAAAATGGTTCATAATGGTAGATAAATGATAACTTAATAGGCAATTGCCAAGTATAGGTACAAAGGATAATGCATGAGGGTGATTCAAAAGTGTGATATGTCAAATGAACAATGCATTGATGATTGATGTCTCCTGTATTCGCTATCATAAATGTGACCTAAAATGCCTAACTGGTTACCGGTAAATGAAGGGAAATAATTGCACACATGTACATAAAACTCCGTCGTTAGAAATAAAAAAAATTCAGTAATGGCCGGAAAGTACTTGTATGTAATTACTTTTTGCAACTGAAACAAATGTAAATGTGTCATTTATACCGGTAAGACAAAATGTCAACTGAATTGTGAAATAATATTTTATTTCCTTTCTTATTCATATTTATAATTCATATCAGAAACATGAAACATAACAACTTACCTCTAGCTATACGAAGCACCCTCATTATCCTGATAATAGTTGGATTGATCGGTATAATGTTTGATTCTAACTCCTCCATCGCTATACCAGCAATAGATAGTATCACTATTGTAACATCCAGTTGGTTCCATCTGTTGGGAATGAAAAGAAATGATACAAGGGATTGGCATCGATTTGGTGAGTTCAAATGAGAGATGTTGCATAGTTTTTCAATACAATGAAAATATATATTTTAAGAAATTAAAGCATGTGCTATTATAGCATCAACAGTTTGAATATGGGCATACAATCATTTTGCCGCCAGTAAATGAACAGCAAATCTACCAAAAACTGTTTGAGGAAGTAGGAAAGAGAAGTGAAACAGAGAAGAAAGAAGAGAGAAGAGAGAAGAGAGGATATGAGGAGAAGAAAAAGATCACAGAGAATAGCAACAGAAGGAGCAATGAGAAAAGGGAAAGTATGCAGAATTTTTTGAATAGTAGACAAGGACACATAAACCAAAGGAAGGAGCAAGATAAAATATACATGCACTTACCCATCTTTGAAGTATCTTTTAAATCCAAGGGCAAAAATCTTTAATAAGGCCTCCAAGATGAATACAGCGGTGAATATATAGTTTAAGTAGGTCATAATGTCGACCATTACCTAGTAAAATAAAAACAATTAAATGATCATTATTACCATTGATATTTAAACAACCAGATTAAAAGTGATCGTGAGTAAAACACCTATGACTCAGAAAATCCTAAACACAGCTGTGATGAAATATTCTGTATAAACATTGACAAAACGATAGAAAATGCATGGTAGGAATTCCATGAACATCTATGTTTAATATATCAAGGTTTGATTTTCACACATCAGGCAAAACCATTTAAGTGGCATCTTCTAAACTATGGCCCTATATATATAAACTCTAACGAAAGGTCAGTGAAGCAATTGCCTTTAGTTTCAGTAAACTCTGTGTATTGCATGTAGTGCACCTGCTGCCCCCAGCAGTGGTACCAAATAAAAGACTGCAATCATCTTCATGGACTTTCAAAGTTCAAACTGTCTTATAAGTACATGCTGATTGCACAAAGATACCAGCGCACAGAGATTAACCCTCCATAACCTTGCACTACGCCAATAACAAAGGTCAAGGTAAGTCTTTATCTCACCCTGGACAAGTAACAGAATCACAGAAACATAAGTAATAATAATAATAATATTTAGCTTTTATATAGCGCTTATACAAATGCCTCTAAGCTGCAGAACAGAGCGCAAGACGCCCTCTCACACCAAGCATGGCGGAAATCATAGAAATCGATGGATAGCGCCAACCAACTAAACCCAACATCAACAACAAAAACAACAAAGAAATGTGAGTTTTAAAAGAAAGCTAAAAACTACTTACCTGAGGCATCATGTAGAACTCAAGTGCCATGGTGACAACGTTGAGGAATATAATAGCAGCTACTATCAAGTCAAAGTACTTGCTCATCACAATATCATGGACTTTCATCCTGGTCTTGGAGTAGTTGATGTAGTAGGGCTGCTCTAACGATCCTATTATGAAGGGGAGATGCAGAATGGATGTTGATTATCTTATTATAATAACTGTTTTTGCTTACAATTCTCATAATCATCATTTATGTACTCTCAAAGTAGAGAGAGTAAACGATAATGAGGGAGAGAAATAGAAGAAGCAAATAAGAGAGAGAGAGAGAGAGAAAGAGAGAGAGAGAGGAAGAAAGAGAGAAGAGATATGGATTGGATGTTGATTAACTGATAGAGTGTTACTTTCATGTTCTTTAAATGATAAATACAATGTATACCTGTACATGTAACTCACCACACATGTACATCCCTAAATCCTGAATCTCTAAATATTTCTTGTACAAATTGCAAATTTAGCAAACTCTGAAACTCTGAAACTATATGAAATAGACGAGAAAGGTATATGTGCATAGAAATGTACTCAATACATAACATTATGCAGTGTATGAATTTATAGTGTATAAATGTAGTGGAATGGAGATGCAATGAATGCGTTAATTGTTTTCTTCATTTTTGTTCCATGGAGGAATTTCATTGCTTCAATCACTGTCATGTATGCGCATGATTTCTTTCATGATTAAAAGTTACACGACTCTGCATGAAGTTATATAAATCTTAGCAAATTTTGGCAATATATTGGCACTGAATGGGCAGGGACAGGGTAGGATTTGAACAGCACTAAATATGAAATTTAGAAAGAAATAATTATGTATTATTGCCTCTTGGTATTTCTTCACCAAACTGATTATGGGAGTGTAATGAAGGGAGTCTTGAGTTTTGATTTATAAGGAAAACTAATATTCTTACAGCATTCTATCAAATCTATATTGATGCTTAAAAAATAGTACTACATGTCTCTGATTAACAGTTAAACGATTTGTTAATGTTGATAGTTAGAACCAAGGAAATTAAGCTGGATGAGCACATCATTACCAAATGTGAATATCTTTCATGATTCTTTTGAGTGAATGTGGTTTCCGGGAGGATCCCCCGAATTTGTATGCATTTTACTTTTTACTAGCCAAAGAAAACCACATTTGGCTTCATGAACAATGAAGAATGAACTTTTAAAGGATTCTTGAGTTTTTTAATTTCATTGACAGAACTCCAAATTAAATTGTAGTTGGTATATAAAGTGCTGAAAAGAAGTACATTTCTAGATTCCTTCATATTAAAGTGTCACCAATATAAAGATAAATACACCTCCACCATGGCACTGATGAAGCATCAAATGTGTTTGGTTTGGTAGTGTATGACATAATTAATAGAGCAATATACAAATGAGCTTGCAAACCATACAACCCAACACATATTAAAATGAGTTCCGTCAATACCGTTGTCTACTAAAAACCATTCCCTACATATCATCATAACATCATATGAGGTAGCAAGTCAGACCAGTAAAACCCATTTAGATTTTTTTTCTCTGTAACCCGCATACTATGAATTTGGAAGTGTCCTTTCTTTTATAATTATGTATTTCACTCGTAGGATGGAACACTTTTATCTGAAGAAAATATTTATAGGGGTACATTTAAACCTCGCAGTGACCTTTGAACTTGATATGGATATCCTTCCGGTGATGAACTTTAATTGACCTGACCCATGACTCCTAGATGATGACCAATATGAACCTGAGTTGTTTATGACCCCTCAACCTACAAGGTCATGAACCTTGACCTCTAAAATGAAATCTTTCCCAATTCTATAATGTTGCTTTATAAATGGCAGCTGGATGATGAATGGTGGTTTTGCATGGGTTTCGCATGGGGATGTGAATATATAGCTGATCGGTGATTCCAAAAGTATGATCCGCATTAGCGATCTTGAATCTTGTACAAACCAATCTGACAATTAGCCCTCTCTTCTGGGGTCAAGTTCGAGAGCTCACTGGGATCCACGTAAATGGTATACCCTGAAGAAGCAGCCTTACTTTGCCTGGCTTTCTGGAGCTTCAGCTGTCGCTTCTCAATCCGCTGGACCAGCTCCTCGGCTGCCTGCTCCTCCCGGCATTTGTGGAAGTTCTCGACAACGACACCCACGAACATGTTGAGAACGAAGAAACCAACGATAAGCAGGAAAGAGATGAAGTAGAGAATGAGCCATTCGTTGTGATCTCTCTGGGGCTGAAAGTCAAATACAAATTCATATTACAGCTTAACTCATACAAACATATTTACATGTATGAAGTGATGTGTCACAAGACCAATTTCTGTGGAGGCTGTCAGACCACATTTGTTGATAATAAAGATTGCTGAAATTTCTATGAAGCCCAAGTGTTTTCACATATTTGCAGACATGGGAAAACCCTATATGTAAGATTTTAAAATTTGCCAAAAGAGGATACACCATTTTTTCCACCAGGCAAGCAAAAAGAAGGATATTATAGTATTGTCACTTATGCAATTGCTGTCAATGTTCTAAAAATCACATATTTCAAAACAGAGTTTCCAATTTAAAAAAAATGCAAAAAAAGGACACAGAAAACATCTTACACTGCTACACAACATTAATGTGAATTTTAGGGACTGGAGCAAATGGATGAAGGCTAGGAGAATTCAATGTTTCATCCCAGAATGTTGGGTAAGAAGGGTAGTAGATTAAATTGATGAGAGAAAAAAGATAAGTCATTAATGGTTTCCTTACCTGCTGATCGATACCAACTGCATCTATACCATTATACATGATGTCTACCCATCCATCCTTGGAGGCAAGGACAAACAGTGCTACCAAAGCCTGGAAAGAAAAAGAGCATTTAATTCACTTAACAATTGAACAGGGAAATATGAGTCAGGTTGGTTCTGTAGAGGTGTTGGTTACTAGAGAACCAAAAGATTGAACAACTATATAACTCAATCATATCAGTCTAGCGATAAATACATATATCTCAAATTAATAATAATAGTAATAATAATATTCAGTTTTTTATATAGCGCTCAATACATCGATCCAACGATGTGCCTAAGCGCTTTACAGATATATTATTATAATACTTATATATACAGATAATGTCAGAGTTTATCTAACATACATGATTTGATTAAATGCATTTACTCATTTCTGTGTTTGGTTTTGTTTTTTGTGATTCAATATATAACTGAAACAGCTCAATTGAGCGGTTTTCTTTTTATAGAGCATAAAGTAAACTAACTTGTTAAATTTGTTATTGCCACTAAAATTTACTCTTAGTCATTGTGATCAGACAAAGAATAGTACCTGAGCTAAGTTGTCAAAGTTGTACTGTTGGTTGATCCACTCATTCTCGGGGTTGGACTCACACTGGGTCCTGTTCTTGATGTGACGTACATTAGAACCAGAGCAGTAGTAGAACTGGCCCTTGAACAACTAGGTGCGAGAAAATTCAGAGGGGGAAACAAATCCATGATTATCTATGAATTAACTTTGTGATTATCATACAAATCATCATTCAGCAATACACCAGTAACTTGCAAAAGAGAGCATTACTGACCAATATGGAACATCCTAATATATCTTAAAGCCTATCTGTACTAGTTTGGCCAGGAGGGATTAGACCTTCCTGCATGGTCACTGACGGGTGGTTATCTCATCAAATCAGCTCTCAATTAACATAAGAAAAAGGGGACCATGGGGATCAATGGTCACCAATTAGGCATTGTATGCGATAGAGGGCACAAGTAGGTATAAGTAGAGCAGTGGGGCTTTACGAGAAATGTCAAATGAGACATTGCAAATGTTCAGCATCCAATCCTGGATATTTGATCTGTGACCTTTGCTCCTTGACCTCTTACCTGGATGCCTAGGATTCCAAAGATGATGAAGAAGGTGCAGCAGATGATAACAATGTTACCAATGGGCCTGAGAGAGGAGAGGAGCGTCTGCACCACCAGCTTCAAACCCGGGGCACGACTAATAACCCTAAGAGGTCTTAGAGTCCTCAGCAGCCTGAACACGCGCAAGATGGAGAAGATCTCTGGACTGCTGGATGACACGGCGGTGATGAGGAGGTCGATCCACGACACGATGACCAGACTGCCATCCATCACGTTCCAACCACTGTGGAGGTAGGCATGGGTGCCGAAAAGGAATCCTTTGGCAAGGACCTTGACCAGCATCTCCAGGGTGAAGATACCCATGAAGATGTAGTTGGACATGGTCAGAAACTTCCTCTCCTGTAGAAGCAACATTAAAAGAGAGTTGTTAGAATATCATCTAAAGACCTAGGCCCTGTTTCACAAAACTTGACATCAGTGACAAATGACAAGCTTTTGTTATAAGTTACTGAAATCCTTGCTTCTGATTGGTTATCAGCAGATTTGTAACTAATTTTTGTCATTTGTCATTGAAAAAAGGCTTTGTGAAGCGGGTCCCTCCTCATGATTCATCAGAGTTATACAGTAGCTTCCTATTTCAATGGTACAGGTACTTGATACAATGCTTGTAGGTCTCACAGCCTGAACGGTGTTTATTCTTAAACCCTTTAACCAACTGAAGACTGAACTACAGAATATTGAGGCTACATGTTACATCATTAATGACATATACACATCTATGAAAGTCTCCAATACATTATGAATAACTTCACAGAAGGGTGATAAAGCATTCTCTTTCAAAGCATATGAGTATATGCTTTTCTTGCTCTCAACGGATCATTTTGCCACGTGAAATTTGATAGTTTGTCATTCACAGGATGATCATTAGAATAGTTTTTCCATTAATAAAAGTGGTTAATGTAATTAACTACATTCATAGATAACATAGTCATTTCAAGTATTTCAACTCCTGTACTCAAGTCTGTAATAATGGGAGCCATGGTGTCATGAATCCATTACTTATGTTTTACAATTATAAATATTAATACAATGTTGTAGAAGAGCTAGACATGATGGTTATGGGGGTGGGGTCAGCTCTTACCAGACTGTCTTCCTCTATGGCTGGTCTCTCCATCGCTAACGTGATGCAGTTGAGAAAGATGATGAGGAGGATGCCGTAATCAAACCACTTCTGAGCAATCAGGTGCTGTAATTTCCTCCTTGCCCTATACAAAGATGATGACATTTTCACCACATCAGTTATCATTTGAAAATAAATATTTCACGGTTTTAATTATCATTTGACAGTTCTTCTTTCTGCGCATGCGACCAGCCCCTTATTCTTCTTTGTATAATTCCACTTATATTTCCTTTTTGTACCCTCTACCTACCTTTAAACCCTCTACTCTACTCCCATCTTAAACCCTCTACTCTCCCCACCTGCTCCTCCATCCTATTCTCTTCCTCCTCCACCTCCTCCTCCTTTGTTTTGCCCCCCCCCCCCCTGTTCTTTTTTCTTTTTTTCCTTTTATCTCTTTGTCTTCCTTTTTACAATATTTTCTCAAAATGCAGAGTTATAATAATCTTGAGTAATTTTGACTTATTTTTCCCAAACCAATCAAATCAGCTTACTTGTTTCTTGGTGAAAGGAGATAAAGTGCGTACTCCATTCTTGTTTTGAAGCATCCCTTTGGCTCCGGACACCACTTTATACAGTCACAATCCTGCATCAAAACATCAAATAAATACATGAGTTTAATTATGTACACTTAGTAGGATTACCAGTACTTCCAGCAGTTAAAAAAGAATAATATACTGGTGAAATTCACATTTTTTGGAAATTTTGCAATTACGAAGAAAATCAACAGGATACACTCAATACCAATTTATAATCTGGTAATCACTCAATATTTCTCTTTTTTTCTGCATAAACATTTGAATCACTCTTCTACAGATTCAACATCTATACAGCTAATTGTTTTTTGTATGCTTGGCAGAATTGGCTAATAAGGCAGGGACATTCCCTGTCAATGCCTTCTTGGCAAGCACCTAGATATTCAGCTTTTACTAAAATATATGCACAGTTTTACTCACATAGAAGATCACAGAAAGTAAAGGGTATTTATTTGAATTGCAAATTCTTTGTAATATTAACAAGAATCACATAATAGAAATGGCTAAAACTACAAGTTGAGTCGACAAAGTGACATATAATGTTGTATTACAATGAAATGGTGAGTCGATCCCTGTCCCTAAATGAGTACACTGTATAACATAAGTACATATATAAAAGACCCCTTGAATAAAACATACAATTGATGGTAACTTTGCCATTAATGGTAACCTCCATGAAACTTCAATTTGATTGGCTCTCGACTGATGTTGCCATGGTAGTTATTATTGATGGCAAAGTTACCATCAGTAGTAAGTATTGCCCAACAGGCCTGGGAATGTGAAGGAAAAAACTATCTATTCACTCCTAACAGATCACGACTATATCAAGAAAGTAGATATGAAAGTATTGTCTCTCTTTAACAACTGAAATAATGTGACCCTATCCTGACTTTCAACAGACAACACGAAAGAGAAGCCTTGGTTTAATTATGATCAATCTACAAAATGGAGTGATTGTTTGGCACCTGGATCCAGGGTTCTTAGTCTGTACTTTCCCATCTCAAATTTTTTTTTCAACGCTCCCAATTTCTGATAGTTTTTTTCTTAATCCTCATATTCCTGATATGAGGATGTTAAAGCAAAATACTCGAAAACATCTTTCTCACAGTCTGGAAACTCCTTGACAAACAAATGCATCTTTTATTTTCACTACAGAAACAAGTCCTAATTTCGGTAAACTTTGATATTTTAAACTGGTCCTGTACATTGTAAAATCTCAATGTATGTAGCAATCATCTGCACAGAACTGGCACTCCATATCACATTGGTAATACTAATAGTCTTTTTATAAAAAAAGTATCTCTGAATTGGGAAAAAAAGACATGTAGATCCAGTTAACCTCGGTATTAGATATATATACATATATGTATTCAGCAGACAGTTTCAGCACAGCTATTACAAAATAGACATACAAGGACAAAAATAAGGCACTCAGTGAAAAAAGCAATAACAGTTTGAGATGACTGTCATTAATATGCTTCCCACTTCAGTAACAAACAATTAAGAAAAATAGGAGAAAAGTTACGTTAGTGACAACGACATTAGAAAGTGACAAAAACAAAAAAATCTGCATAATGATAGATAAATGAATGTGGTTAGGAGCAGTGTGGCTGAAATGGAAAACATTTCCTTTGCAGAAACATAAAGGTAAAAATTCAAGTGAAATAAGATTACATGAATATGTGATGAGCCTCGATTATAACACATGTGCTGTACTAAATATACAGATAAATGTAATAATAAGTGGAAATATTGAAAATGTAGATATTATTATAAAAATATGAAGTAGATAGGCTATTGATTATTTGTACAGAAATTAAATCAATCATAAAACTTTCACTCAATTTTGCAAGTCATTTTTTAATGATTTTGATGGTTTTACAAAACTTTCTTCTATGTGCAGCTTGCAACCAAAAAAATTTACTCAATTTTGCAATTAATTTTTTTGTTAATGACTATGATTATCTAACATTAAGAAATCAATTCCATCAATCACCATTCTTTTCTTCTTTTTTATAATAAACGTATACATCCTGGTTGTACAATTTTGTACTTTTATTATCGCTTCCAACCGGTAATCACATGCAATTAGATGTACATGTAGTGCAATATTATTGCATGGGGAAACATTTCTATTCAATTAAACATCTTTTAGTTTATAAATACTTCAACTGTATTCTTGTATACTTTCCTGATAATGTTATACCAATGTATCAACCAAAACATATTATCCATAACAATTTCGACAGTAGAGTATGTGTACTGAATACATCAATACTTCTCTGGTTGAAAGAGATTTTGCAATGCATGGTATAGATACTGCAGATACACAGAGTCATAGAATGTAGATATATAATAATGCTAAGTATAACGCAGAGTATATGGAGAGAAAAAACTGTGAAGAAAAAAATATGGATACATAGGGATCAGGAACAATAATATGAACAAATACAATAGCACAGTATTGTTAGAGATCTTCTTAGCACATAATGCAACTGTAGTTTAGTTACCTGTACAGACATATTTTTACAACAGATAGATATATATTGACATATAAGTATATACATATATTGCTCCATGATGATAATATATGCAATTAACATGAGAATATATACACATGAACTTGGAGTACTTATGAGAAAAAGAGCAGAGATGGTCATGCAGGTTACATGGCTATGAGAGATCTCTATTCTATGGCACACGTTCAGGGCCTAGGGCCCCGTACACTGTATACTCATGCTCCCTGAGCATGGAACTCACCCATGGAGAAGATGCCAATTTGCGGAGGGCAGATGAACGGTTCGGGGAACATTCGAGGCAGGAGCGTTCAATAACAAGCAAGGATTTTGACATGCCAAATGCATGAAATGACATAATCGGGAATATGGGATGAAAGCAATGAAAATACGGGAAAATAATTTAGATGAATTTCAGAAAATAAAGAAATAATATCTGTAATAAAGAAAATCAATTAAACTAATTTTTGTTTTTCAACTTATGAAAATGAACATACAAATCGTTTTCCCTCATTGACAACTCTGACAGTTCTAAGGAGCTATCAATGACTCTAATCACTTTTCATTTTTTGTAAATATAGTCCAAATACTTTTCAGTGATATGATCTTCACAATGACATTATCAAAATATAGTACCTCGAAAACCTTGCAAGTGTCAAATAGCGAATATTTTTTTTAAATAATTGTGACTTGTTTTTATGAAAGACATAAGGCGAGTAAATTAAATATGTTGTTAAAACCCTCTTTTCCAAAATCTTCCTTCTTCTGCACTAAAAATGAAGTACAAACTTTCCTGGATTGTCTTGATAATTTCATGGTTTTTAGGTTGAGAATAAAATATTAAAAATAAGGTCTTTTTGACGTAAAAAGGCAGTTAAGTAAAGACATGGTGAATTTAACTTGTATTTCAGGATGATTTACAGCAATATATTTAAGGTCTGTTACCTCCCTATTGATAAAAACTTCATTTTAACTATATAAAATGGGAATATGTAACTTCTATACTTTTCATGTTTAATCAAAAAAATTGAAATGACTATTCCTCCATCAGATATACTCCATAATGCTAATATACTAGTTGGATGATATATAACTATCAATTACCCGAATACAACAGCAATTTTGAGCGAGATCATCATCATCGTCATCATAATACTCTATGTCCTCATCATCATGCTTTTCTTCACACGTTGCGTTTCCGTTTTTACACCGAGAAGTATTTCTCCGCTTTCTCTACATGGTGATGAATGGGGAAAACAAGTCAGCAGGATTGGAATGGGCAGAATGAATGGCACTTATCGTTCTTGGGGGAAGGGGAGGGGAGGGGGGGGGGTGGTCATCAATAAAATGTGATGGAGAATGGATGGTTTTGTGGAGATGATATGTGGAGAAAATAAAATAAACTGAAAGCTATGATCCTGATCTTTGAGTATGAATATGAGCATGCAACATTTCAAATAAATAAAAAATGCAATTGTATTTTTTTCTGCACTACTTTCTGATACAATTTCTGCATGGAACGCTCCTGCAATATTCAATTTATATAACATGCATGAAGAAGTGCACCCTTTCTCCCAATGATCAAATTAATATCAAATGCAAAAAAAAAATTAAATTAATAAACTCTTTTTTGGTCTAATTTTATGTAAAAGATATCTTGGAAAAATGTATATTTGGAAGATCAGAAGACATATAGTTTTCCATCATATTTTACAAAGTTTATTAATAAAAGATTGAGCAAATTCTACTCTGAACAGTCACATGTACAAACAATATTCAAACCCGGGTCATGGTTTTCTAAGTCTTGTAAGATTAGCATTCTGTATTACCAGACATATACATGCAGGCTCTTAACAAATATAATCAGGCATACATCCCCATATATAGGTTTTCCCGCCCAATTTCATCAGAGTTGCATCCGATTTAACGATGCGATCATTCAATTTCGAGCGAATTTGAATGATTACCGAGATCAACATTCAAAAAGCTAATTAGTTCATTCAATTTGATTGTATAAGCATGTGATTTCATGATTTTCTCACATAAACGTGTAAAAAGGGCGTTCAAATTAAAAAAGCAAGTTAATGCATTCAAATTCGCACCTGCACCGCCGTGATGAACGTTAAGGTATTCAAATTCACGAAAAGGCAATCATTTATAGCATTTGGGAAGTCTTTTTTGTTTAATGTATATGTTCTTTGCAATCTGCATCTTTTTGAATAAATTATGCAAACTTTATGTACCTTGAAATGGGACCTTTGGCTTATATTGAAATAGCTCATTCCTCTGACAAACCGTATTCAAAGCAAGAGCTCGTATAACTCCACTTTCATATTATACGCATACATTCATTTATACATGACTATATGGCGGTGGCTCAAGGAGCGTACATGAATTTCTCGAATACGGACAGAGCTACCTCAGCTAGGTATATAAAATATGATTAAAATAAACATTATGAAACTTTAAAATGAAAATGAAATTATATAATTAAAAACAATGAAAAAGGGTAAATATGATGTGACAATATTGCGGTAAGAATTACATAGAACTACAGAACTTGTTTATGTTAATTTAATTCGAACTTTCAAAGTTCGAAGGTGTGTGCCTATAAATGAAATTGAAAGTGGTATTAAGGACGAAATTGAACGTCTATCCAGCTGGCGCGAAATTGAATGACAACTTCGCGTCATTAAATTGAATGGATTTCTCTCTAAATTGAATGAAATAAAATTCAAAAGGAATGATCAAAAACGAAATTGAAAGCTCAAAGAATGAAAATGAACCATGAGAGCAGAGAGTTGACGAAAATCGTTCGAACTTGAACGCTTATTCATAAAATTCGAATGCAACTCTGATGAAATTGGGCGGGAAAACCTATACTATAACTTCAATAATACCCTCCGTATAGACCCTATTCTTTTCTTTCGTTTCAATTCATATTCAACTAGGGTTTTTACTTTCTGAAAAGGCAAAATAGCCTCATATTCTTCACACAATCAGTATACAAAATGACATAATCTTTAAATACATCATATAACAAAGATGCATGTGCATAGATTCAATTGACTTCTGTAAGACTCGATCGGCACAAATTTACTTCTGTGCCTTCGAATTCATGTCAGTGGTGATTTGGCCAGTTCAGTAATGCTGATAAAAAGGGGAAAGAAACCTGCAAAATAAATTGGTGTGGGGCATGTATTTAAAACTTTCTTTATTACAATCTGCTAACAAAGACTCTCAATAAAAGGTCACACATTGAGTCTGTATCTACATTGTCACTGCAAGAAGAAAACAGGTACATAATCATCCGGCCAAACAACTTCAACATGTTAGTACAAATGATTCAGCATATACATCAGTCCAAATAATAATTTCAATGTTAGAAATCACAAGTAGGAAACCATAATAGAAATCAAAACAAAATCAAAATAATTACAAAAATATTCAAAAATCAATATCAAACACATGCTGAGGGCAAGTAAAGTCATCCATAGGTATTATGCTGGAAGCTACGTCTGAAAAGTTCTTAAAAAGAGATTTAATTTGGAGAGTTTTGATGTGATACAAGTTAATTTGATTTGATTTCTATTGATTTAGTAATGAAAAGGTTTGAAAGTAGAAATCACTGAAATACTAGGAAGTGAATTAAGGGCAGCATCCGGCGACATTGAGCAGGTTTTGTGATGTGATGTCACGTATGAAATAAGGTTTGGGGAGAATTATTTTCTAGGGCAAAAATGTAGATGAATATGAAGCCTTAAAGCTTCTATAGATTGTATCGTATGACATCCAATCTAAAAAGACCAATCTATAATTTGCTTTTCTCTCCATGAATAATGCCTTATGAGGCCTTTACTTCTGTTAAGGAATTTTAATTTCATATTTCTTTATCACCTTTAATTCCCCCTCTTGAGATTAGAAATGGAAATTGACACAAAAGTTGTTATTCTCTCATGGTTCTCGATGTAATATGTCTTTTAAAATACCGGTAACCTGTAATAAGGAAATCATATAGATTTTAAACTTAATTAAAATCTTGGTGCAAGTTTTCTATTTTCTATTTATAAATGATAGGGTTGCTGTTGATAATGGAAAGTACTTTCTTTTATGTATGAACTAATTCTTTTCCAGAGGTCAAAGTTGAATTGGTCATGCTCTGAATTTATAGACAAAAAACTTTTTAATACAAACATATACATACATATATCTTTAATACAACATTGTGTGTTTAGTGGTCTTATTTTCCAATAATAGAACTCTTTGTGAAAAAGCAGAAATTCCACAGAGCCACTGACTAGAAGACCTATCTCGATACCTGATGACCATACCAGTAAATTTTTAAAATTTGTTCATTCTAACTTTAACCAAATACCAGTCATTAAATTTAATTAAACATGAATTCTTTAAATCCATCCACACTTAACAATCTCAAAAAAGATATGAGTGTATACTTTAAGAAAGAAATGAAAAATATTTGTGAAATTCTATTTTACAAAATGCTATAGAGTGTAGCTAGCTATCACAGCACACTAATTGAGAATGACATGCTGTACACACTAGTGAGGTGAAGTTTGAAGCATGCATTCTTTCATGCATCATCCAGACAACATTTATTGCTAAAGCTTGACAAAAATCTAATCTCTTGAAAACATATGGTGTTCGATCTTGCACAGCACACGCACACTCCACTAGTGGGCTAAACAAAAGAAGTTTCTCTCAAAGATTCTCTGTTGCATTTTTAGAATACAGATTTCTGTTGCAATTAATGCCTTCTCCGACAGGGGTATGGCCAGGCCATGTGACTTTCTCTCCCAAAAGATTATAAGGATAATGAAAGGTCTCTAAATTCAATGCATTTTGATGTCTACAGGGAGTTATTCTTATCTCCCCATCAATTTTGTCCTAATTACATCGTATGAAGAAAGAGTTTTTCCGAGACACAAATCTACTGGGTGAAACTTCCTCTCTGAACAAATATACACTGTACATTTTTAGCAATGGTGCACATTGACATGTATGGATTTACCCGGAAACATCCAGTAAGGCACGTCCGCAACCAACCAAGGCATGAGCACTTCTGTCATGGGATGGAAGCAAGAGCAGGATGAAGTGAAAGAATGATGATGCCAACATGAACAGAAGGATGATCATGGTGACAATGATGATGACGATGATGATGATGATGATGATGATGATGATGATGATGATGATGATGATGGTGATAATGATGATGATGATGATGAACAGGAGGATGATCATGGTGACAATGATGATGATGGTTTTGATGATGATGATGATGATGATGATGATGGTGTTGATGATGATGATGATGATGATGGTGTTGATGATGATGATGATGATGATGGTGTTGATAATGATAATGATGATGATGATGATGGTGTTGATGATGATGATGATGATGGTGTTGGTGATGATGATGATGATGATGTTGATGTTGATGTTGATGTTGATGAAGATGATGATGATGATGATAATGATGGTGATAATGATGATGATGATGGTGTTGATGATGATGATGATGGTGTTGATGATGATGATGATGATGATGATGTTGTTGATGATGATGATAATGGTGTTGATGATGATGATGGTGTTGATGATGATGATGATGATGATGATGGTGTTGGTGATGATGATGATGATGATGATGGTGTTGATGTTGATGAAGATGATGATGATGATGATGATGATAATGATGGTGATAATGATGATGATGATGATGATGATGATGATGACGATGATGATGATGATGTGAAGATGATGACAATGATAATATGATGATGTGAAGATGATGACAATGATGTTGATGATGATGATGATGATGATGATGATGATGATGATGATGATGATGATGATGATGATGATGTTAATGATAATATGATGATGTGAAGATGATGACAATGATGTTGATGTTGATGTTGATGAAAATGATGATGATGATGATGATGATGATGATGATGATGGTATACTTATGATGATGCCGACAATGATGATGACATGTGTATGATGATGATGAGGAACATCATACTTGTGGGACCAATAATGGTAGTGATAATGATGCCATGATAACATCAATTCGCAAGAAAAAAAACAAAGACATGATTGCAATGAGGAGCTAGCCTAACTTCACAGTAAGTCCAAAAATTGTACAATAAAGAAAATATATTCAGATGTAAGGACGGCTACAAATGTCAGAAATTTGTTAAATTGGAGAATGAGACAATAAAATCATAAAGGGAAGAGATACATATAGTTTTGTTGATTACTAGAAAGCAAGAGCAATGTATTCCAGCAGACATTTCTTTGAATGCCTCGACCTTTGCTTTATGAATTTCAAGGAAATAGTACATCCCAAGGCCCCATCTTATAAAGAGTTGTGATTGATCCACATCAATCCCAAGTTTGCAGTATCATATCTCTTATGTATATAGTTGCGATTAATATCAACCGTTTATAAAACAAGGTCCTGAATGGTAAATTTAATGGCAAAAAGTAATCAAAATATATTAGAAAAATCAACAAGATTTACAAAAAGCTGAAAGAAGGAAGAAATTAACAATGTATTATGAGTGTTCTTATTTCTTGCAATGAATCACCTACTTATTGCTCCCTAATTTGACGAATATCTCCCACTGTTATTAAATGCTACTATTACCAAACTAATGTTTTCATCGTGGTTAGATTTTTTAATCTGGGGTAGGAGTAGAGGGTATGATGCACATGCATACATATCTGATACGGCCAATTTATGATGAGAAAGTACAAGCTAGAGCAGTAAACCAGTGTCTTAGCCATGCATACAAGACCACAGAAAACTAAAAAAGTTCATGCTTCTCATGCATGGTCTATACATGCACTTCAGAATATTTCTTTGATGCATAACACAAGGAATAAGTTCTCATGAATTGAGATGTGGTAATGTCATGCAAAATTATTTCTGGTGAACAAGCCATATTTCACACAATATGATCCTTCCAACACCAATACTTGTTTGAAAGAATTACACTCTCTTGTAACAAAATTGGGAGAAAAATACAAACAAAGAAGTAGAGACTGTAGACTACCACTCAAAAGTCATGCTAGTGTAATTGAGCTAAATTCGAAGAGTGTAAAGATAGGAGAAGAGGTTAATATTTGCAGCCAAATGTTTCTGGATGTTGATTCTCCGTGCTTCCAGACTGCTGCACAGAGAGAGAGAGTGAGAGGGCCCATGCTAGCAGCGTTTACCTTCTCCGTGCGACAGTGACTGTTTGCTACTACTACTATTGTGCAAAAGATAGGCTGTAACAGCCAGAAAGTTAATGGGGGAGAGAACAGTGAAGTAGAAAGCAAGGTGTCGATTGGCATTCCAGCCATCTTCTTTGACGTGCAAATCCTCAAAACAGCAACACTGCTGACAAGAGCAAGCGTTTTGGATCCTGCTCCACTGTAGGAGCTAACTGAAAATTCACCTATACTACCGGTAAGTAAGGTAAGATTAATCGGTTATGAAGGAAATGCGTTTACATTCATGGAATGTGTTCACATCTTAGTTAGACAGCATTGGTTTAATCATATCAACAAAAGAGTTTATATGTTAAATGATGACACCAAAAAAAAATTATTTCAACATACAGTATGCGATATACTCATTTTCTAGTTTCTCCTAACATTGAGAATTTCAAGATTAGATTTTATTGCTTTTACAACAATACATGTTATCATTCTATGAAAAAAAAAAAAATTCTAACACGATAACACACACTTCCAGGAAAATCCCTAAATGCATTTTATAACAGCCTAATGCTATCCCCTGTTGAAGCAAACAGGCTTAAAATGTCATCTTAAAAACCAAAAATAATCAGATCTGGCAAGACAATAAGGTTCTTTCAGTCCTTGAGGTACTTACAGCTTCGTCTATGGCATCAGGGTCTTCTATATTGCTGTAGGTTGTTGGCGCAGTCCCTTCTGTCTGGAGGTCCTTATTATCCTCCACACCATCGACCGGTATCTGAGTGTCGGCCTGAGGTATGGCCGTTACTGACCCACCATTGCAGGAGATGTAGGAGGTCCGTCGGCTGTCGTTGTTGTCACTGTCAGGTAGGTAGCCATTGCGAGAACCATCGTGAAGGGAGCTTCTATATATAGTCATGAGGATGAGAGAAGATATGGAATGGAAAAAGGTAAGTATAAGCATCACTACAAGGATTAGTAGCTTGAAAAGTATACGGATGTACAAGAAGGGTAACAATAAGTATAAGGATAAGTACATGCAAGGACTAGTGAAAGTATACATAAAGAGCCAAGTGGGAGGAGAGAGATAATACAGAGGATATGATTTTATAAATGGATATAAAGATAGGGTATAGCCAAGATATGAACCTGAATGAGAGGAACAGCAACATAGCAATAAAGGTAAGGACAAGTACGAGGATGAAAATGGTGAAACGTTTAACAATAAGAATATGGATAATATTAGAACACTGTTAACCCACTGCATACAGTAACCGGGTGGCTCCTACATCAAAGCCTATGGGATTAAGAGAACTCAGTAGTCAATGGGTTCAGAAGAGGGATATACATGTACCTTAAGATTATGCACATACATTTACATGGACCTTCAATAATTCTATTTGGAAGGTGTAAAAAGAGAGTGAAAGTGAGGTACATGCGTAGAAGAGGCTGTATTGACTTGGAAGTCTGACTTGGAACAGCATCCCTCTTTCCATAAGGAAAACTACCTGTCTTGCCACCTTCAAGAGCCATCAAAACTTACCCTTTTCCCCACTGATCTATGTGATCTACTTGCTGTGAGACATTTTTTGTCCTCTTTTCATATATTTGTGTTTGTAAGTGCTATGGTACTTATTGTCTTTAGCACTCCTAAATATTTGACATTACTATTATACTGACCTGCTTATACTGACTGAAGAGTGGCTATCATTATCCTGCCCCAGCTCATCGCCCAATTGATATGGGGTGAGAAAAGTCCCCCCTTGCTTCTGGTCTTCGGGTGAATTGCTCCTCATGCTTCCCCCCTTGTGGCTGTTGTGGCTGTTTACGCTGTTAGCACTGGGGCTACGTGGGAGACGAGGTGACCCTCTGATCTTGAGTGATGACTGGTGGAAGATAGAAACAATGTAGGTGTTTTTCAGTTGAGAATGTTTGTTTTGAAAGCATGAGCAGTAAGGCTAATTGTAGGGTCGTAAAATACCAACATTATGTTTTTAACACCGCTGCTCCATGATAATGGCAGAAGGCTTACTATGGAACCATTCAAACAATGACTCAGGTTCACATTTCTTCCTTTAATCAAATGGGCTATTTTACCTAAAATGATTTTACAGCATCAAATTATATTTTACAACATCAACTTATATACTGGGACTTTGTTAACTAGTTTGTTGAAGCGTATCAAATTTGGTAAAATAATTTCTTTTTTCAGTGAACGTCTCATCACATATTAAAGTCAATGGTATTTTTATAAATCAAATCAGGATATGATTCAATTACCATTTTCCTATTGAATTTTTTTTTGTATGTGGGTTTCCGGTGACTCTCTTCTCAATAATATCCTATGTCACTCCTTGTACACAATTTCACTAATTAAATCCTTGCAAAATTCAAAAGAGGGACTTGCTATATCAATCAGGAGAGAATTCCTAATTTATTAAAAGCTAATGTTTCTGTTCCTACACTTACCAATGACTGAGAGTCTGAATCCCATGATCGTGTATCATGATCAATGAAGCTACCAGGCCTGAATGCTCTCTGCATATCAACGTTAGGGGAGCCTTGAGGCGTGGCTGCGGTATGGGTAATGATAGGGGGACTCAGGGGGTGGCTACCACCATCGGTAGCGGGACCAGTTATTGCTAGTTTTCCTGCTGTGGGAGGAGAACATAAAGTGAATTCAATGATTAGAGTTTAAATGCATTTGAAGAAGTACTCTATGTACATGTATATGTATATCTAAAAAAATAGATTGAGATGAAAAGGTGTATCCTAAGCAAGCAGTAATATTTAACATTAACAATTGTTGTAAATGTCATATTCCAGATTATCAAGTGACTCCATCTTATATTTTTACACTGTACTTCTTATAACTCACTCTATATTCTATAAACATTTTAATACGTTTGCACTAAGAATTAATCACGCACATAATTACAATAATCAAAAGAAAGCAAGAGGTTTGAAAAATCAATTTCAATTTTGTTGGTTCTATGCATACCCTTTTTAATGTGAGTGCATTGAGAACTTAAGTCCAACTTGGTTGAATATACCTTATCACATATTAAAGGGATCGGTAACTTTATCTCAGATCCTTTTTAAAAAAATCCTTGATTTAGCTCATGCTGCAATCATAATTATAAACCTTGGGGTCAAACATCAATCCCATGACTTTCACAAGCCAATCGCATGTCTGATTATCAAGATATTTATGACTGAAAATCGAAATCTAATTTTGCATTTTCCTAATGGTTTTCATTACACTACAGTCTATTGGGTAAAATGTGTATGGTAAAACAGGTCACTCAAAGATTTTCACTTTTTTGAGGCACTTCTTGATCATTTTGAAGCACAATTTTGTTAGGGCTTCAATATTACACCAAATCACAGACACTGATAACACGTAGGGCCGTGCATCTCAGATTTAATATTGTTAAACGATTCCTTTAAGTGATTCAACAGGTTTTTTAATTTAAACCATTAACTTCTGAATTCTCTCATTTAATATTCTATCACGCAATACATTAAAAGATTTAAATACTTACCATTATCTTTATCTGATGTAACTGATAAGACTTCATCCTTGATATCATCCATGTTCTTCTCCTCCTTCTCATTCTCTTCATTCTCCCCTTCCTCATCCTCGCTCTCCTCTTTATCTGATGTGTTCCCTTCTTTCTGCTCGGGCTGGACAGAGAGAACGAAAATGGGATGAAGGGGTGTAATTACAAAACTCATCTTAAACATAGGGATATGCATAGGGGGCACCCGTAGTCAATATATGATAGATTAACAGCAGTAAGACATGTACATGTATATATTAGTTTCTCCTCATAACTTTAATTCTCAAAATGAAGGGAAAAGGTTCTTTGAACAAATCCATGCTGTACATTGAGAATGAGTATAAATACATCAAATAATACCTTGTTCACAAAACTATAGGAATTCATACAAATTATATCAGCAATTTTCATGACAAGGAGGCAAGTATAAAACATTCAAGGGTGATTGGAAATAATAGAGGATACAAATTAGCACACTATTATTGAATTTTCTTTTATGGTATCCATTTAACTAAATGTAAAGGAGTACATGTAAATGTATTCATTAGCAGATGCTGAATTATGTGTACATCAATCATAGCAGATTTCAGGTGATATATTCAGTTTCAAACAGTATGATATTAGTATTCAAGTAGGATAGTTCAACTGCTTTATCAACCCATATGCACTTCTTTAATAGATGCCAAGTCACTTCAAATTTCTCCACATAATTATCAAAACACCTACACATTTTTAGTAATTGCCCATTCAGACTAAAATCAATCGATTCATTTGTTTATGGTTCCTTTACATCATGCCTAAATTGCAACCCATTTAGATGATCCTTGAAAGGATGTGCGGAAGAAGGAAATGTTTCCCTAAGAGCTTGCTTTCCATAAAGTCAAGTTTCTTGACTGGATAAAGTTCACTTTCCGGAGAAAACATATTTTTCTAAATGTCAAAATGCTCGAGTATAAAGATATTGTAACTTAATCATACACAGAAGCAAATAGATTTATGCAATACAAATGTATGTAGAAATTGACATCAATATGCATGCCATTCTCTATACTACAATGGAAATGAAATGCAGGCAGTGTGACATATTAGGAGTGGGTGGAATATCAAGAAAGTGTAAGAGCGAGGAAAAAATCTAAAATATATATCGATGACATTGAGAAATAGAGAGAAAGAGATATGCCGTTTATATCTTGAATCATAGTCTGAAAAATTACAAAAGCTAAGCTTTTCCTTCCATTTCACATATGTTACATTTAATCAATATTTAGTTGTTGAGCGACATGTCAGAAAAGAAAATGACTTGCATTTTCTAGATTCAATAAGATTGCAGTAGCTTCAGGAGTGAATTGATTTGCTTTGTAATATAAATAATAAAGAGGACAAACCAACTAGAGCAGAGCAAAACCCATTACTGCGTATAAAGATTGAGTGAGGAACAATATGCTTTAGTTTTATTGAATATGTAAATTATTTGAAGTGGCAATTAGCTAGAACAATCAGAGCACGACTTAAATTCAATTTCCCATCACTTAATGATGTATTCATATTTTACTATCAAATTGGACAGGCTTCGCATTAGTCAAACTTTTCTGAAAATTTATGAAGAAAAAAAAATCATGCCCTCTGGATTTTTCCATCATAGCATAAAATAGCTTCAAAACAATCCCATCATACAGAATGACAATGTATGCTCTATTTTTTCCCCTAATTGACCAGAGACACAACATCTGTGTTTCCTGTCATGCATTTAATAAAGAACCTCAAAACCAATCCTATAGATGTCATATCCAATTATTAGATTCAAGAAACTGATGAAGTGCATTGATCTTGCATATCTGTTTACATTGGACTTTATCTCTGCATAAAACGTGGGAATAGCAGCAGGTGTTAACGACTCTTAAGTAAACCATCAATATAATCTGAATCAATATGATGGAGATGGAGCTGGCTGGCTAGGTACATAAAGATGCCACTGTACTCTGGGTCAGAGTTTGTCTCTCATACTAGTGACTATTACTTACATGGTTTTTATCTCACTAGTGAATGCTATTGCAGATATACTGAGTGCTTGTCTCCCCCCCCCCAAAAAAAGTCGGCTGTTTTAAATGCACCTATTTGAATCCTTTTAATATGCTTATATTGAATTTTATGACATAATAGGTAATTTGTAAACAATAACAGCTCATGTTTTTGTTGTATTTCGGATAACGTGTGCAATTATGTTTTTATGGTTTTTAGTAACAGAATTTAAGTCCTATTTTCAATTTTGCTAGTTTTTTTTACATGTATATCTTTAAAAGTGTTATCTATTGTGTGTAACATGTAAACATGAATATTCCAGCCATGGCTGTCTTTCATGTAAAATTGTATTTGTATGTTTGAATTGAATTGAAATGAATTCATAGATTTTAAAAATACAATTCAAGAGAGACTGCAGTCTGATGTTTGTAACTATATGCATGAAATGTTGGCAAACCTACTCAAGATATATCTAGAAAAATCAGGTGAATGATCACTTCTAACACTTAAAAGAACTGCAACAACAAAAAATGTGTACACATCCAAGTGCAATGAAAACTAAGATTTGGAAATAACAAATATCTTTCATATGATAGGAAGAAGAAAGAATGAACAACAATTTTTTTATAGAGTGATGAATGGGAGAATACAAAACCACAGCAAATACATGTCATACCAACATAAAATAAGCACGAGGAAACATAATGCAATATTATGAATTGGGGTTAGATATAATGAAATCATTCACCTACTTATTTGGAGCAAAGTGTAAATAAACATCAAACTACATTCATGAAGAGACACATTAACCTACATTAACCCAGAAAGGACCTCCTTTTAAATTGCTTTTTTGCATCATGTTCTAAAAACATCCATTACAACTCAGGAGAGCTTTATGTTCCAGCCTGCCAACACTCCCATTTCACAGGCTGACATTTGGCCAGCTGCGCCTAAAACCTTGTTCACACATAAAGCCTTAAACCGCAATTTAAAAAAAACACTCTGACAAAAACTTGTGACCCAAGAGTAATGCACTTCTTATTATTTTATCTAAAATCACATGGATACGTTTCTCTAAGGAGATTTTGTTGCAGAGAGCTATCTTTTAACCACCCATCTGCCATTCATTTACATGTATAATGCTTGTATTTTGCAGCATTTTTTGTTCTGGGGGTGGTTAACCCTGGCATGTGTGAACTAGGCTTAAGTCTTGCCTCCTTCCTACATCCATTATGCATACAGCTGAGTCTGCTGCAGTTGGTGTAATCATACACACCATTAATACAAATTCATGAATAAGCCCCTAGACAGCTTACGCATGGGACGGGTCTGTTACCATGGAAATGACATTTGAAATTTCTGCATATGAGACCAAACCAGCACAAAGGAAGCTAGGAGAATGATTGTTTTCATCCTTTACACGACTCTAACATGGTGGTCTTTTTTCTCATATTGTTCTGGATTTCACCTCCATGAAAACCATATTCTCATACAAGACCAGCAGTACTAATTATGCATGTGTTCTTTGAAAGGCTTTAAATATATGATTAAATCATCTATTTGAAGCTGGGAGGGCACCAACTCAAAATACCATTGTGCAGAGTACACGTCGTTCTGGATCCAAACTGACAAAATCAAAGATAGCTTGATTTTCAAACCACAAATACATGTATCTTGTACATATACACATAGGTACATTGTACTTAATGCTCATAGTAATTGTAATTGTAATTGTAATGCTCAAGCCTCATAGTGACAATGAAGGTGATCGTTGCCTGTCTTTCCGTGTGATCAAGTATGGCATATGGTTTCAAAATTTGAAATGGAGGTTCATATTGTGTACTGTATGTCCAGAATTCTCTTTCAGAGAATGCACACATCAACTCCATCATAAATGTATTTCTAAATTTAGGAAAGAAGGCATTCATGAAAATGTCTATATATGCATGCTAACATGAGTGAATCTTTTAATATGATATTCATACATCCCACTCCAGGGGGGTGTTTCACAAAGACTAAGAACAACTCAAGTTGGACTTGAACTATGGCAGGCGATGTATGCCTTTAAAAATTCTTGAACCAGATGTAAAATTAAAGGAAAAACCTTAGAAGTTATGATCTTTAGATAATTTTTTTTCCTTCAACAATAAACTATCAAATAATAGGAATTCTGTAGATTTGTGATGTCCCTTGAGAGATTAATGGTGAGAGAAACTAGTGGCATGCATGGCCTGCCATAGTTCAAGTCCAACTTAAGTCGATCTTAGTCTTTGTGAAACACCCCCCTGGATCTTCATCATATGAATAGTGCATGGCTAATATTTTTATTGAGAGCCATAGTTAAGTGCAAAAACATGTACCAATGTACTTGTAAGCTTTGATGAAATATACTCACCATAAGTGTTCATCGGGTGATATAAAGCAGAAGATAAGTTCAACATGACACGATGACATAAAATTGGGGGCGTGGCCAAGATGATCATGGGTTGGGGGCGTAGCCAACAAGATTAGGGCGGGGCACCAGATGGTAGAAGGAAGTATAGTTTGCGATGAGAGATGAAAAAAATGACGTTACAGAAAATAAGACATATCGGGAGACAAACGTGTTAAGTTAAAAATATCCACCAGTTGATGAAGCACCAATTTTCTTGTTTAATGTATTAAGCAGGTAGGAGGCAACATACGTCAATTCCTTAGCAAGAGCAAAGGAAATAATTCAAAGTGTAAAAAATCACACAAATGGACCAAAATCTTATTTTTCTTGTTTTTTTCACAAGAATTAATACTAATACCGGTAATTCAATAAATGAAACCACTTTTTGTTTTCCTTTACAAATATCATTCAAACGATTGCATGAAATTGATAAAAAAATGTAAAGTGAGCAAAAATATTGCCAATGTGCAAAAATCTAATTAATGATCTGCTTTTTTTTTCCTTTCTGAAAATCACACAAAAATGCCAAAATCTTCTTCTTCTTATGTTACAAGAATGAGCACGATTAGTTCGATGAATAAACCATCTTTATTTTTTCCATTTACAAATATCATTTTTTAAATGATTGCATGAAAATGATAAAAAAATGTAAAGTTAGCAAAAAAGTTGTCAATGTGCAAAAATATTGTTTAGTGATCTGCTTTTTTGTCCAGGAGAGTTCATCAGGATGTGAACCGGGTTGCTGACATCAGAGAAAAGTCGCAATTATCTGTACCACATTTTATAAAACCCTATGCTACCCAGCTCACAGCAACCTACAAGCTCTTATCCCCAGCTAATACCAGATAATCTCCAACTAACGCAAGAGAAGTAAAGAGCAAAACACTAAAAATGAGCCCACTGGTGACTGTGGTTGGCATGGTTACGTACCTCCGAAGAGAATCCCTCGACGAGGATAGCAACCAGGAGATTGAAGAGGACGTAGTTACCGAACGTCATGAGAGCGATGAAATAGAGGGCAGCCCAGGGTGAAGTCCGAGACATGCCGTTGTAGAGAACCACGTTCCAGTCTTCTTGGGTCAGGATCTGGTGGGGGGGAAAGAAGCAACAATTGGAGAAAAAAAAGGTTCAGGGCAAATTCACATATATGTAATGTCAAATAAAGTAAGAGAACAACAGTAGAAAGTTGTTTACTGAATGAAAGTTACGTTTTCATTTTTTTTTTTGCTTTAAAAAATCGACAGAAATATACTGAAAGTGCTAATAAATGGGATGGACTATTATATTGTGTGAACTCTCGAAAAAATTATGAAAGAAATTAATGGAATCATTACCAATCATTGAACTTCATGTTTGCTTATTATCTAAAGGATGTTGGTTTTACTCAATCAATATTTGGATGTGTCATAAAAATCTTTTCTAATTTCCAAACAATCCTAATGAAACTGTTCATGCAGCAATCAACAGAAACAATTTTAAAAGGCATAGAGAAAATAAATACGCAAACATAAAATCTAAAACTACAAATACATGAAGGCCTATACAAATTAAAATAAAATAAAAAGACTACACGTAATAAATTGTCTATAAATGTAACGATTAAGTTAATATTGTTAAGGGCACAAAATAATTCTTCTTACCTGGAATACTGTAACAATGGCCCACAGGAGTGAATCAAAATTCTTTCTATCACAGACTTGTTCTCCGTCAATATAGTCACAGAATTTACATCCAAATATGTGCATTCCAAGTATACTGCAAAGAAATTCAAAATATCATCTTTAATCAGTTAAACATCAACTATACATGTATATGGTATACAGGATACATCAAGATTCAATGTTGGTTCATACATGATGCATATAAAGACTACTTTTGTTGTGTCACCTGAGTGGTCTTTATAAACAGGTTTTATTGTATATGTAGTAAATAATAATAAACATTACTCATATCAAGCATATCACTTTTCATTATGCATTTTGCAGAAAAAGGAAGAGATCAAATAAGGCAATAATAAGAAAATATCATTCAAGAAGATACCAACTAAATTCAAACTTAAGGAAAAATTGCACATGAACAAATGAGTCTTCAGTATGTTTTTACGATTGGTCAACTGTGACTGCCTCCTTAACATCATCCTCAACAAAACTGAAATGCTTTTAGGTTAGCAATCTAACACATATGGTGTATTCCCATACTAGCATCAAAAGAACGTCTTTCAACATCTTTCCATTCACAGACGTCTCATCATTATGTGGTAACCTTTACCATCATACATCCACTGGTCTCAGTGTGTCTTCCTTGTGACTATGAGGCCTGTTTTCATCAGCTCGAGTTGGCCAAACAGCCCGCTATTTCTGATTTGGTAAATTTGCCCTATAGCGGGCTATTTGGCAGGTTCCGTCTTTACCAGCCCAAAGACTTGCACTATACGCGAACACTGAGCAAATTTCTTGAGGTAATTTCTTGAGCTCAAGTTTTGAGCTGATGAGGACGCACTTCGTCGCTGTTTTCACGAAGTGACGGTAGTGAAAAAAAATTGCATTCACTTTGCGTTACGATTTTCCTCACTACCGTCACTTCGTGAAAATAGGGACGACTTTGTAACTTTGGGCTAATTTCCCAAATCAGAAATAGCGGGCTATTTGGCCAACTCGAGCTGATGAAGGCAGGCCTTATGAGCCTCTTTCAATAAAGGGAAAACAAGATACTCATCACACTGCCAAATAATGTCAATGAGATTTTCGAGATTGGAATGGAGTGAGAACTGACATGAACAGTATGTTATGTCTTTAACCCTTTGTATACAGGAACCGAGTGTTCCCTGTATTACGCCTATGAGAATGAGAGAATTTAGAAGTCAACGATTTAAAACACTTAACTAGAACCTGCCAAGAACCCGTCTAGAAAGGTCATATGTCAAAAAAGGCCCCCTGTTATTTTCTGTGCTGTTTTTTTCTCACTATTTTCGACTATTTTTCAGCTGTTATATTTTGACTAGGGGATAATATTTCAATTTCAATTTCTATGAAGCTTTGAATCTCCAACAAAATAAGACAACAGAGAGGGACATTGAGGGGAAGGGGATCACATAAACCATTTTCTGTAACTGTTTCATACAGCATTATTCTCTTGAAAAACAAAATTCAATAGCAGAAATCAATCGATAACATTTATTATTCAAAATTTCCAGTTGGGAAAATACAGTACGTCACATTTTTGTTCTCTCTCTCGCTCAGACACATCTATGTTGTTACAAGTAAATCAATCTTGAGAATTTAATTTCCTATGCCTGCATCTGCCCTAAATTACTTATCAAAACAACCTGGCTCGCTATTCAAAAATAGCATTCAAGTAAATGAGATGACAGGTTTATTACAAAATAATTGAACGTTGTAAACTGATTCATACTCTCCGATCTACAGGAAATGGATCCAGTTTGAAATCAAATATTTTTGATCATCTATAAACTGTATATTGTTACTGAGTTATAATGCATGTGCCAGTAATTTCCTGTTCTCCTTTCATTTGATACTGTAAAAACATCAATGGTTGAAATCAATAATGAAAACAAATCAAACCCCTATTGTATATTCAAGTATATACATGTATGTAGTCATGGTAGCACCAGATACAATGCCTCAAAATTTAAAATGTGATCAGCAGTATTCCTTCATCTGTACAAATATTTTGGTTTTATCATCACATACTTCTCTCAACATTGAGTCTTTTTATTATTTTACTAAACCAATTTTCTTCCTGAGTAAAACTTAAATTTTATTAAGAGTGATCATGCATAACTTGGAAATTTCCATTGCGTACAGGAAGAAAAAAAAAGAAGCAAAAGGCAGAGACTGCAGGGGAGATAATTGACTTTTTTGGACAATGACACCTTTTTTCTGTAAACAGGTACACGTCCGGAGGGAAGAGCTCTATAAGTTTAGACGTCTATCGGAATTCAATAATGGAATCAGAAAACCAATTCTTTGGTCGAGGTAGCCCCAGGTAAAGGAATATTTGTTTGCTGGCTGACTAGAATCGAGTAGTGAGGGTATACCTGAGTTTTCAATCATTGGGGGGGGGGGAGGAGGGGGGGATGGGGTAGAGAGGGCGGAAATAGCCATTCTTAAGATCACATTGACAATGCAGCACACATAAATGTAGGCAACCCACGTCCATATTAATCATAAAACTAGTTGGTCATACATTTGTAAAATTCAAATTTTTGTTTTCAACTTAATTATAATTCTACTAAAGAAATTCCAATATTATGCTTTCTTTTCATATATTGCCTTATATTTCTTTAATTGAGTTGAAGGATCTATATTTAGGAATAATTCAAGTCAATAATCAATTGATACAAGGATTTATGTTGTGATAGTTTATGATGAAGATCAATTTATAAAGCCTTTATTGCTTGATTGGGGGTATGTCCTCTTTTTACTTTTTATCTTCAATTATTCAAACACAAATAGTACCATTCTCTATAATACAATTTGTTAATGTTAATTTGCTTTTTATCTTGTATTGTGTATTACAAGGAGATTTTGCAATAAATTGAGGCACACATAAAGTCATCACTATAGTCCGTAACACAGTCTTGTAGGCCTGTTTCAAGGCCCATACGATGGTAACTGTATTCATGAAGTGCTTGGAGGGGTCGATGCTAGCCTTCAATACTAATGTAATATACACTAGAAGCCATACTCTCTCGTTGAAATTGGGCATATGGCAAAGAAGAACAAACATAAAACGAACCCTGATTTGATTTTGCCTACAAGGCCCTATTTGATATGGATTTGTAAACCCATTTATTAATGATGCAGTAAACTGCTAACAAAACACCATGGCAAATGGACACTTTAAAAGTAAAAAAATGGCAACCCGAGTGAAAAAAGTACCTGCATGCTACAGCTGGGCCCTGAAGTGTACTCACAGACATGTATCTGAGTGTTATAAGATATAGAATTATGATAATTTGAGCACTAGCTTCAGACCTAAAATATTGCTGCAGTGGTTTTTGAGGCAGTTTACCGCAATATGTGCGAACAAAGCTTTGTGAATATTTAAATGGCTAGCTCAACCAATCTATCCAACACACCAAATCACACCCTTAAACACTGTAACACTATGTGAGTACGATCTACAAATTTAAATTATGAATTCTTTATCAAAGTATGTACAAACAGCTGCAATATATCCATATCATCTTTTTAATATCAACTTTTCAAATTAAATACATGTATTTAAAAAAAGTAAAAATATACTTTTAATACCAATGAATTCTAAACCATATCTTCCTAGCAATATACACCCCATTCTAGCAGAGATTTTAGATGGCTGTTTTATAATCATTCTTCCGGTAAAATGTGATTATTTCTCGATGTAACAACTTTGCTATTTGATTTTAATTGAATGCTACTAACATTACCTTTATCTTTAAAAAGAGTATAGCCTGACAATAACTTGACATTTAGGGGGGGGGGGCTTGCATCCGTTGCTAAGCTAGTGTTTGAATACATATCAAGGAAAGCCATACTTTAAGATGATAGACAGAACGTTGCTTCAAACCATTCTAAATGTCAAATGTAACGTAAACCTCCAGCAGCTTTCTGATCTTTTTATCTTTCTATTTCATACTTGTCCAAAGGCAGATCCAGGACTGTCAAGAGGGATGGGGGAGGGAGGGGGGATAAACCCCCCCCCCCTCCCATTTCGATCTGCCTATGCACTCCTCTGATAAAGAAATACACTTGTTCTTAAGACGATGTAATTTGTTATTTCTCTCTATGATACATGGTCACACTTTATATGTGGCTCAAAATGTAAAAAATTATAGACATTATAAAGCCAACCTACCTTTACAAAAATTATTGTTATCTGCAAAATGATAAGAAAACTATAATCCCAAAAGACCCGAAGTAAATGTGTATCCTGATATCGTTTTGGGGAAAATATTTACAAAAAGCAGACTTATTTCAGTTAATGAAGCTCTGAATCCTAGCCATTAGCATTGACTTTCTTATCATTGAGGAGAGGAAAGCAGAAATGACAAACATGGTTTAGAATTACAAATACTTTGATGTGAGAAATAGCCTACAGAGTGCTCTCTGGGGTTGCCGTCGCGTTTGGGATAGAGTACCATGGGATTCTGAGCCCAAAATCTGAACCAATTTTTTGCCTCATTTCAGACAAATCCCAGATCAAATCCCACAAATTGCCTGCTCAGTTTCAGAGGTAATTGGGTGTGTGATGCATGTAGAGGCCCTAGCTGCATGTTCCTTTTTATTACATCACAGAAGAGAAAGTAGAATACATGAAATAGAGACAGGTATGCAGAGAGAAATACAGAGAGAGGGGGAGGGAGGGGGGAGGGAGGGAGGGAGGGAGAGAGGGGGAGAGAAAGAGATAGAGAGAGATAGAGAGAGACAGAGAGACAGAGAGAGAGAGAGAGAGAGAGAGAGAGAGAGAGAGGGGGGGTTAGCTAGTTCTAGGGAGGGAAAGAAAGAAAGAAAAATACTGAATATGAAAGGTGAAACATAAAGAGAAAGGGGGAGAGAATTAAGACAAAAAGAAAAAGGATGAGACCAATTAAGTAAGAAACATTCAGAAAAAAGGGAAAGTAAAACAAAGCAAAAAGATATAGCAAGAAAGACAGAAAATTCATGAAAAGGGCAAGATGAACAAAATGTCAAACAATTATAAACACAAGAGAAATAGAGGGATTACAAAACAATACAAAACATACAATAATATCTAGTGGAAAGTTTTTTAATGTAAATTTGAGAAAGTTATTATCATAATGTTGTTTGGTCAGATGACTGTTTGTTTGAAGAAAAAAAAAGGCAAGCACTTAACATTTGCACACCCTTGGATAAAGCACATTATTCAGAAAACTCTCTCTGGAAGCCTATAAATAGCAAGGATAATTGAACAGCTTTGGGTGCTGAGATTCACTACATGTTCTACCTCACTCCAATTTCCCATGCATGCACAGAAACATAAGTGAACATAACTAATGCATGTACTAGTTCCTGCATGTTTTGAATAATTGATAGATCAGGGATCTCTCCCGATAGCAAATGTGAAAGCATAATTGAGGGCAGTATATGGTTCAAGCAGGTATGGAGATATCATTGCGTGAGAGCTAGAAGGGTGTTATTAAACTCATATCACTCTGATACAGAGTTAACATCCTTCTAGCAATTATATGAAGATGTCTTATACATGTTTGTGGGTGTGGGAGTGGGTGTTGTTTTTTTTTTTTTTTTAAAGAGTGTTTCACATCACCTGTGTCAGGAGGAAAAGCATACTTATGAATCACAATTATACACCCTCAAGTCTCTCCTCCCAGAATAACTGAATGGGATGTGCAGGTGGACTGCTCCATCGGGGTTTCCCCCTCTTCTTTCAGAAATAGTTGAGTGGATATTTGTGCATGACTTGCACTCCCCCCCCCCCCCCCCCCCATCCTGTTATCCATAAACCCTGTGCTCTACTAATAAGCCTGTAATTGATTGTTTCTCAAAGAGAAAGAGAAATATGCATGACTTTAGAAACAAATTTATACCTTAAGGCCCGGTCACACAGAGGGGACGCATGGGGAACGCACGGCCAGCGCATTGGAAATGTGCAATTTTGGCCAGTGCGTTGTCGTGCGCCCAACTTTTGTCGAAGCTACAGCTAACTGACACCAAATGCATAGCGTGTTGCTAGCGCGCTGGACGCATACAGGGCGCACACAGGGCGCACACAGGGCGCACACAGAGCGCACATGATAACAACTTCCACGAATGCACAGCGTGTTCCTAGCGCGCTGGACGAATGGTCCACGCATGCACCGCGTTCTACGACGCACGGCCAGCGCATTGGAAATCGGAAAAGAACGTGTGCCTAACTTTTGTCATAATTTTGGAAAAGCTAGCGAGCTGACACAAAATGCACGGCGTGTAGCTAGCGCGCTGTGCGTATACAGGGCGTGTGCTCCACGCATGTCTGGCGCTGGTCTAGCGCGCTCCACGCATGTCTGGCGTGCCTTTGGCGTGTATATTCATGCGTCGAGCTCGGCGCACGTTTTTGAGCATGCTCAAAAAATCCCGACGCACACAGCGAATGACGACGCATGCATAGCGCTGGTCCAGCGTTGGTCCAGCGCGCTCGACGAACGAGTAACGAATGATGACGCACGCCTAGCGAACGACAACGCACTGGCCCAAATTGCAAATTTCCAATGCGCTGGCCGTGCGTTCCCCATGCGTCCTCCCTGTGTGACCGGGCCTTTACAGAGGCACAGGTTTTCAAATGTACATCACAAAGATATTTTTTTGATACAAGTTTTCTTACAACAGCCATTTTTCTGAATTCATGTTGATGCAAAAAGGTTCCACGATAACCGACAACAAATTGACTAACCCATTTTCTATTTCTTGGGCCAGAGCATTTTCATATAACGTCAAAATTCATACAACTTAAAAGGCCTATTGGAGTATGCAATTTAAGTAATGTTATTTCAGTTACTGAAACAATATCCTTGCTACAGCATGATTCCAAGTCGTCTTCACTGCTAAAAAACGCTGGGAATATATGAGTTTGAGAAGATGCTGGGAATATTATCAATGAGGTGCTTGATGGGGAGAAACCCTATTATCGGGTCATGTGATTGTTTGCCTAAGGTTTGCCTCATTTAACCCACTTCCTGTCCAAATGCCAATGACTCCAGTGCCCTCGATAATGCTTATCTAGTTTATCCTCAGCAATTCTTACTCTTCATAGTCTTTGAAAATCTTACTTTATGGGGGTCTTTATTCTAGATTACCACATAAATAACCTTCTTATGCCTGACTCTACACGCATAAAAATGGAAAATTCCATGTCATTAAACTTCTATTCTTTTGGAAGGAAAAAATCAACCCATTTTGAGCAATATTCTGAGTATTAATGCCCCCTCATCAGGAAAGGATACAAAGCTCCCTAATACAGAGAGACATTGTGCTGATGAAATGGTTGCCAGGAGGAAACACTTACGCCATGATGTAAAGGTATTATCAACAACGTCACATTGTATCCCTATCTCGCTAACAGCATCTATCTTGTGGTTAGCTAATGTCTAGAGAGATAGAAACCATATCATGTTCGCAGAAATATATATCTTTGCTGCGAGATATATGGCAATGCGGTAAGATATAGATAGCATATGAGACAATCAGGGAGGTAAGCTAGGAGGAAATTTGTTGCTGAAAAACACATATCTCCCATTTGATAAAACTCATACAATTCTTTCTTTTTTTCTTGTTTTTTGTCTATGCAATTTATCAGGCAAACAATATCCTGGATAGCATTTCCAAAGTTGTTTTGTATGACTATTTATGCTATAATATTTCCACATGAACAAAAATTGGCAATTTATAATTACTTTTCAAGCGGTAGTAGTAGTAGGTTTTAAGTCATTTTATTATCAATCAATTATTGGCAGTAAATTATAGTCAATATGGGGTTAATTGAGTTTATAGTGTATACAGTTGATTTGACAGATATTTGAGTTGATTTCATGCTTCTTGATACCAATACAAATATCTACCACACACAAAAAAAAGCCAGAAAGCTACCTGATATTTTTCATGTCTTAGGTCAATGTATTCTTACCTGAAAATAAAGATGAAGAGAGCTAGAAGGGAGAAGAAGGTAGCCACGTTATCCATGGTGCGCAGCATGACCAAAAGCTGCCTCCTGAGGGCGGGCATGAAGCGGACCAACTTGAGGATACGAAGAAGACGGAAGGTCCTCAAAACAGAGAGACCTCCACTGCCATCTTGAAGAACCTCTACCACACTGTATGAAGTACGTAGGGCATAGAGAGACAGGTATGGAGAGAACAATTAAGAACCAGAAACAGAGAGAGAGAGAGAGAGAGAGAGCGAGAGAGAGAGAGAGAAGGGGGAAGAGAGAGGGGAGGGAGAGATAAATAAAAGATATTGAGATAAAGAGAGGACAAAAGAGACACAAATAGATAAAAGAGGTATATAATGAGACAAGGAGAAACAGAGAGAGAGAGAGAGAGAGAGAGGGAGAAAGAAAGACATACAGACATACAGACAACAAGACAGAGAGAAGATAAAAGAAAGACAGTGAAACAAACAAACCACAATATTGTTATGTTTTCAGGTTACACAATTACAGCTAGTATTGTCTAGTGTTGCCTCAAAAAGCAATTACTCAAACACCTGAACAACATCATGGATATATTCCCGGGCATTGTTGCAGATTAGCATACTCTACTAAAAACAAGTTCTCAAATAACAATACTTTAACAACAGTCACAGATATATTTCATTTTTTACACAAATGTACATATATATGTATACATGTACTAATGCAGGACTTAATACTCATAATTCTTTTCAACAAATTCTACACAGAATGTTTGCCTCAAAAAAGATATACGAGTGATATGAATATTGGTCTATTACACCATCATTATCTCTGAGATGAAATACCCTCCACAGGAAATATGTAATTATAAAAGTATTCTCATTTCGTTAAAGTGCGTAAGGCCTATTAAAAGGGCTAGCGCTAAACATTAAGTGCTTAATGGGCTCAACAAATCACACATCAAGATGCACAATCTTCTTAGACGGAAATGTCAACAAGATATAAATTGTTTGTTCTTCTCACCTGACTATCACAATAAGGCCATCAAAGACGTTGAAACCGTTGCTAACATACCCCACCGGACCATAGGCAATTATCTTAAGAATCATCTCCAAGGCGAAGAGACTGGTGAATATCAGGTTACTGATCTCAATGGCCTCTGTGAGCTCATAGGGCTGTGTGGAGAGAGTGGTGAGAGAAGGGATGGAGGTGTTAAGAGTCTGTACTGGCATGCAAATGATCACTTATGAGCTTTTTCTATTATCTATACAATACAAATAAATGAACACATCAATATAAATGAAAAATTATCTCAATGCACAATAATGTGTACTTAACGATTTTTAAAAGCTAGGAATCAAGCATGTTTATATTCCTAGCAGAGGAGACTGGATATATGTTGAGATGAAATGCTGTAATACACAATGTATCAGTAGACAATAGATGAAACTAAATAAACCTGCATTAGCCAAATTGGTTTAGTAAATGTTCAAGTAAGAAAACATAAATAATAGTTTGTCAAATACTAAAAGTATTGTTCAACCCTGATCAACTCAACATGAAATATTTTGATGACATGTTTGTTCACTTGAGGGGAAACAATTACTGCATATTGTAGACAAGAAAGTTATTGCTTTTTACATTCAACAAAGAAAAAAAACATGGTTATCTCCTCTGTACAACATCAATCATAATGGGACAGTTTGCCTTTCTAGAAAATTAAATGTCCACGAATGATGAATGTATTGCATGGCAAGACAGTCCATTTATCACTACATTACACATAAACAATACACAGATTTATATCATTGCATGTTCCCTACCCTGGACAACATTAGGATTTTGAAATACAAAGTAGTTCTTTCACTGATTAAGTTTGAAAAAGCAGTCAAATTTTATTATTTAGTTAGTAAGTCTTAGTACCATATACACTAAATGCCTGAAAGATCTTGTATCTCATATTAAAGCACATTCTCAAACAAATTTCAAATGCATATTAACATGTATACATATGTCGTTCCTGTAGGCCAATTCTAGAAAACGTACACTTGCAAAGACCATTTGCAAAGTGTGTGTTCACTGATTTCCTCAAGGAAAAGGGGAGGGGGTGAAAATATCTTTACAAAGTTTTGGTAAGCCTTAATTCTCTAATCCATTACAAATCCGACTCAAAGAGAATAAGAGAAAACCTAGATGTCACAGCTAAGGTGTGTCGCAAAGAACATGGCTTGACTGAAAATATATCCAAGATAAACTAGAAGATTCAAATGAGAGTTGTTGTAATGGAGTATCTTAGCGTAATGGGGCTGAGAATGCATTGGTTATCAGTCTTCTGGGATGTGACATTATCAAGCTATACTGCAGAAAGACGTCACTAGTCTGACGACACCAGATTCTTGTCTGCTTCTTAAACCTCCGAGAGAAGAACCTCTCGTCTAACAAGCTCCTTTAAAATGTGTTTTGACATGAATATTTTATGTTTTGGGTCTTGTCATGTACAAGAAAGGCACCATTTCTGTCTCATTCATCCTCAGTATTTGTATACGTTTTCAAATAACTTTTTTTGTATATTCTGCATATGTGTATGCGAATTTATGTCTTATTGAATTTATTCTTCTTCTTCACGTCTATACTTTGCCTTACAATGTTTTGTTCCCAAATGAAATAGTTCTGATCATATTATTTTATCTACACAACAATATATTATATTCATATTTCAATGAAATTGAAACTCTCCTTTTCCTTTTTCTATTTTGATGATAATTATAATAATTAGATCAATTCATATAGCACAGCTACTATATAAATATACTCTTCCGCGCTGTAAGAAAAACTTGTAACAATACTTCTTTTAAGGTCACACATGCATACACAAAAAGCATTCTAAAGCTTCTGAAAAGTGCGTCTTCAACAAAACTTTGAATACAGCAACAAATTCTCTCTCTCTCTCTCTCTCTCACTTCATAGTCCCTCATTATACTCTCTGCCACAACAGAACATCTCTCCAGATTGCGTGTATTTTACCTTGTCTCACACAAACAAGAAGCTAGGGATAACAAGAGGAAAGATTTCACAGAAATTTCTTCTCATCTAAAGTAGACATGAACATGTTTCGCATAACAGATAGGGCAGACAATACTGCCCCCTCCCTCCCTCCCTCCCTCTCTCTCTCCCTATCTCTTTCTCTCTCTCTCTCTCTCTCTCTCTCACTCTCTCACTCTCCTTCTCTTTCTATTTCTCTCTCTCAAATATCATATATTAAAGGCACATGTTTAATAAGCAGTTTCTTCAAAAGGAAAGAGAAAATTGTGATATCTTAAAAACAGAACAAACAGAAATGAGGGGGAGGAGGAGGGGTGCTCTAAAGGTAGACCATAGAGTTGCCAAATTTTTTTTTGATCGATAACAACTTTTTGACTACAAAACCTACTTATTTCTTTTCCTTTTAGAATTAACCATGATATTTAACTAATCTTCTATCTTTTTTCAAAGTTGTTTTATTCAATGCAACATTTTGCCAGAGGGGACGTCCCTTTTTAAATTCTGGTCACCGTTGATGAGGCATAAAATCTTGGCTGAGTACATTGTTATAACAACGACGAAGTGGATGTACCATCAGCAGCCAACTGTTAATCAGTTTGGGATGGGATAGCCTTGCTTTAATCCCAAGGGATTAGGAGGCTCTCAGCTTCCCTGAAGTCCAGGGTAGCCTCGCACCTAGCTCACCCCCTGCTTGTACCAGCTGCAATGACGTCAGCAAGCTTGGTCAACTATAGCCTCACTGCCGTCACAAGATGGATGGATGGATGGGGGGGGGGGGGAGGGGGTGGACTATTCACATGCTAGCTACTGGCGCAAGGAAATAGAATTTTGTTTAAACATCTGATGGAGATGTATTAAAAAGCTTCAGTATTGGGCTCAACTATACGTAATGTACAGCATCCTTTTTTCTGCGAGGTCAAGTCCAAACTATATTTTGCCCCATTCATTACTGACCACATGTAATATTTTAGGATATATCAGATCAGGTAATTGTAATAATTTACAAGCCCTTTATATTAGAACTATATTGATACCAAAATGTCAAGTAACATAATCATTTTGGTGTCAATATACACATGTATATTTCTCATACCATGAAATATAGTAAAATTTAGAACCCCTAATGACTGATTACCATGGACCTGTCTACTATTTAAGTCACAACAAAGCTGGTTGAAGTTTTCTTCACAGTAGACTGCAATGAGACCCATCTAGCATCTGGCTCACACTTTTAGAATATGCCTCTTCATTTTTAGATAAAGCCATAAGTATCCTAAGTGCAGCTTAGGTTACAGTAGTACAACATGATTTTTTTGTTTAAGTTCTTCAAATCAGCAAAATTGAATACCGGAAGGGTTTTGTTATGGGAAAGTGAGAAGAATTAAATTGAGCTTTTACATTAGTTCTTGGTTGAATTATTTATGACAGAATTCTTTAAAATTTGTCAAGCCATTCTAAAAATAAGACATCTAATTCCACTAATAATAAGACAGTCTACTTCATTACGTTGATGTCTGAAGTATCCTCTGGTTTACAAAGGCAATGTGAAGAAGGAAAAAATGAAGAAACAACATCTACGTCATGACTCCAAAACTTAAAAAAGTAGTTCACCCTTTTTCCTGTCACTGAAAGCATAATCCAGTCTGAAATACAAGATACCTTCAAGCTTAAGTACTTTCTACTTTGTGATCCTCTATTTTTGCCCGGGCATGCCCCAAGTGAAAGTTAACCTTAATGAAAAACCTTCTGTTTTCTGTCCCATGCTTTCTCCTCTGAATTTCTTGGTCTACTAACCATGAAATTGTAGTGAGATGAAGGATTCTTCCCGCTGTTCACAAGATTAATGTTGTGATGTTAATGTCCTCCCTAACAGCATCGGTATACGTCAAAAGAATAGGTCAAAGGTCATAGGTATCATGAAAGTAATAGACACCTTATCACATTCTTCCAATTTTCACTTTATTCTTCCATTTTATCTTTAAAATGGGCAGTAATATAAACATAAATCAAATTGCACATCACAGAGGTTCTATGTAACTCCACACATTTGCATTTAAACTATGTGTAGCCAAAATAAAATTGTCAGTAATTGCTTTACATCCACTCTTTCAAATCAAAATAATGCTACCCCAGTTTCCATGTCAATGTTTCCTATACCATTAGAACATATGTTTGATGAACACACATAATACATGTATATATCCCTACATACACAGTAAAGTGTAATTCATGTTTTGTTTGTAAATGCTATAGTTCCAAACAGAAAAAAAGATTCAGTCCCATTATGTGGCATATTCAACCTAAATGACAATTCTGTAAATGACATGTTTGGACCTTGAGCTTGATTTCCTTCTTCAAATAACTCACAGAATACTATTTGTTTAAAAAGTGAATGACAGTAGGGGAATCTTAGTCTATACAAATAGAATTTGTTTACAAGCTACAACTTTAACCTTCAATCATTTTCTCTTTTCCGTATATGAATCCATTCGAAAAATGTAAAATTGTCTTAAAATGAAACCAACATGTCTTTTCCACTCCATGTATAAGATAGAGCACAACTGTAACACCAGCGAATCACTTGGAATAACACCATACCATTTGTCCAAAATACCAGACATTTCAATAATGAAAAATTGTTTGCTTTGGAGGGCAATGAAGATACAAATTTTTTATCGATATGGCAGGGAGCAAAAAGATTGATATTTGTTCAATAGGGAACTTGTGTAAACTGATAATAAGACTGGTTCTACATTTGCTATGGTAGGTGATAATTTAGAAAGTACACATTGAATTGTTGACCCAAGACTCCAAGATACCCCCAAACATATTCCTCAACCCACCACTCCAATTCCCTGTTTCTATTTGCAGTGGTGGATGCCATGCACGAGACTACGAGCATCTTCATGATCATGAGAATCTCAGTGATCACACGATGCAGCAAACAGGGGCAGGTCGTGACACGGGTCTGTCCTATGTCAAATATGTACCAAGCTATGAATGAACCCACGCAAAGATCCATTATCCCTATCTATCACGCTTTTTATCGGACTAAATTTAGTATATTGCATTCCACTGGCATACCATGACCCAAGGATATATATATATATGACAAGTTTTGACAACAAATCAG